GGCTGCAAAAGACTTGATAATAGGTTCACCTTCCAGCAGGACAACCCTAAACATACAGTCAGAGCTGCGATGGAAACGTTTAGATCAAAGCATATCTATGTGCTAGAACGGTCCAGTCAGTACAGAACCTAAATCCATTTGAGAATCTTTGGCAAGGCTTGAACATCTATGTTCAGACACCCATCATCCCATCTGACTGATCTTGAGTTATTCTGCAAAGGAGAATGGGCAAAGATTTCAGTCTCTAGATGTTCAAAGCTGGGATGAACAGACACGGAAAGACTTGCAGCTGTAAAGGCAGATAAACATGGTTATATAAAGTGTTGACTCAAGGCATCTAAATATAAATACTTTTCAGATTTATACTAGTAAAAACTGTATAAAACCATTTATTCATTTTTTTTCTTCTTTACCATGATGCACATAGTTTGTTGGTTTATAACATAAAATCTCATTAAATACATTAATATTTTTGCCTGTAAAGAACAAAAGTTAAAAAAAAAAAGTTGAAAGGGCCACATTGTGTGGCACTATATGGTGCTCTGAACAGGTTTACAGCAAGGTTCAAATGAACACTGATAACGAACACCTAAACTGCAGGACTTGGCTGAGTAGCAAACCAGATAGGGAGGTGTGAAGTGGTGGTGCAGATGAGGTTGTCCAGGAGAAAGAAGAGTGTGGAACATAGATGCTTGGGTTCATGACTGATCAACAGGCTGAAAGGAACTAAAAGCTTCTCTGTGAGGACAGAACCTAATCTGGAAAGGTATGCAAAGATTACACACACATACTTGTTGAATATTTTATTAAAAACTGCAGAATATAAATAAGATGTTTTTTATTTACATTGAGATTATAACAGACCAACATGTGTTCTCTCTCTTATGATGTCAAAATGTCAACATCATTTATCTGTCTGTGTGTACAGAAAGGCGCCGCCCGCCAGGTGTTGCACACAAACTGGTAAACACCCATACATCACTCATCGACTAGGAAGTTGATGAGGGCAGTCCTGGGCGAGAGGATGGCTCTCTTGATGCTGCGCTCGCTCAGAAGCTTCTGTCCAATGGGGCTTTCCAAAACCAGCTGCTGGACCTGGCTGGAATCTTTGGACACCTGCAGAGGGATCGTCACCGTGCCACAGGGCTTGTTGTTTATCTGAGGGCAGGAAACAGAAAGTAAGAGATGAGAGAATGTTCGAGTTCTTCCTCTGGAAGGCTTTCCATCATCTGGCAAACATTCGTCCATATAAATCTGTACCTAAATTCCTTCTTGGGGAAAAAAAAAAACAATCCCTTAAAATAACACACTCCAGCCCTGCGTCTGCATATACAGGGCACCCTTTCAAACACGTAGTTAGTGGTAGGTATGGGAAGGCAATGGGTCATGTGTGTTCAGAGGCAAGTGTATTCGTGCACACAGTGAACATGATCACATCTCTGGAAGTGCTTACAAATTGATGGTGAGCAGACGCATGTGTGTCTGAGGCCCCTTGGTTCAGCCTTGGCCTCTATTATCTCTTGGGTTTATCCAATGTACTTGAGACGAACCCAAGTACATGATTAGAAGAAAGAGGGCGTGAGGAATCCCACAACAGACAGCTGAGTCCAAAAGAAAAACCAACCTCATTATCCTCAATGACTGGGAGTTCAAATGTGTGCATGTCTCTAAGTATGAAAAAGGAAAACTATCTTGAGAACTTTACATCCGTCAGTGCTCTTTGGAGATATAAAGGGAGTAAAAACTTAGTTATAGGTTTAAAATGAGTGTAGAGCTTAGTTTACCTACCTAATAAACCCTGATCCAATATCACTATATTGCTAAATTTATTTTACACTCTTTAGTATGTTAAACACCTGAATATATAACTGATGATGATATAAAATGCAATTAGTATCCATAATTTCTACCTATTATTGGGGGTAGAGTGGGCTTCAGGACAGGCTAAAGACTAAAGTTAAAAGGACAAGAACAAAGAAAAATCAGTGTCCGCTGGTTGGTAATGTCTGGACCAGAGGTCTTCAACTTGTGGCCCCAGAGCCCCACACCCTTTAGACCACTGGTCTCCAAACTTATTGACACTTGGGCCAAAGTCATCAAGCCAAAAGTACTCGTGGGACAAAAAATATAATAAAAAAAAACTTATATCACAAGAAAATAAATTGTGATTTTTTTTGCTTTTCAGTAAAAGACACTGGATTTTTACTATGAAAGTAAAGTGCAAAAAGATTGGTTATTAAAAAAACAAATACTGGGTGTTGTACCCTACATGTTCTCTTGTAAGATTTTAAATGGTTGGTAATAATATTGCCCTAATTAAAAATAAAATGTCTCCATCACGCACCTTACCCCAAATGTGTATCATTGGTTAATTGTGTTGGGCCACACAAATCCGTCCAGGGGCCGCAAATGGCCACGGGTTGCACTCCACAGTGGCTCTTTATAAGTTTGACCGAAAAGGCTATAGAGCCAGGCAATGTATGTAAACCAATTAAAAAAGGTTTGTTTTTACAGTTTTTCATTGTGTTTTCATTATCTGTGTTTCATGAATATTTGCATAGAAGTTGCACACTAATTGTAGAAGATGAATATCTAAATCTATATCTATTTGTGCATCTCTCTCTCTCTCTCAGAGGTTGAAAGCTCAAAACAATAAACCATAACAACATTACTGAACTCCCTTCAACCTTCTTAGTCTTGCTCTCTCTCACAGCTTGAATAAATTAGAAACATGTTTAGAAAATACAGTGACCTTTTAAATAGCTTTGTGCGTCACTGTACTCTGACCTAATTCTTAAACTTCCTACTGATCCTGGCGACAGCTAACACAAAGTCTTCTCCCCTCAGTAAAATCATCAACACCAGAGAGTGCTGTTGTCAGTAATGGTGAGTTCACTGGTGAGAAAAAATCAAGCTGACAAATGTCCTATCAGTTGCCAATTACTCATTGCATGTCTATTAAACATTCTGCTAAACTTTGCATTACCCAGACTTGTGCCAATACATGTAAAACTAGCAAGGAAGATATTTTAATTAGATTTTTAGGAACTTTATCACCCTCAGCTGCCACAAAGAGAACCTGTTGCCATTTCAGCGAAAAAAAAAAAACACAAGAAGACAGATCTTAACAGAGATGAACTTAGTTTAGAATCAAAAATGTGATTTCCAAAGAGCTATGAGCTGGAAACTTGACATACAATACAGCCAATAACATTTATTGGCTACAAATAGTTATGTTTAGGGCTTTAAACAATTCCTTTTGACCTTAATTTTCAATATTCTTCATGTTTAAGCATACTGACAACATGCTGTCATAGTTAGGTGCAAGGAATGGTGAAAGAAATATAGTGAAAAGGCAACCAGGGTGCAAAGAAGAACTTTTACTGACCTTTAGAAAGCCTGAAGAGTTATTTTTATTTTTGAATGGGACTATACTGGCCAGATTACTCCTTCACAGTTCTGACTGATACAAAAGGAAAAGGTGCTCATGTAGCGCATACACAAATTCCTTCACAAAGCTGAATCTCATTGCTTTTGCTTGATACTTTTCCCTTTTCCTAAGGGAGTCTAAACTTAAAACGTATTTTATGCTAACCAGAAAACATGCCTCGGGCCTTAAGACTGAAAGATTTACACCACGTGGACATCCTTTTTAAGCCTCATAAGGAAGACACACCCTCATGATGTGACAGATTTAGGTTCCCACAACATGAGTAGTAACTGGCCCACACACACAAACACACACACTTTAATTCCATGACATTTGTTGCAAAAGTAAAGACTCTCACTGAACTTCATAGAGAAACTACCAGTGAGGAATAACACCACAATTCTGTTACAGACTTGATTACGACAAACATGTCTGTTTAGCTTAAAGTGTACCACTTGCCTTGTGGGTACGTAAACTGACACACACAGGTATTTACATGAATGTAGCCATGCGCACACGAAGGCTAATTATAGTCCCTGCTGAAAATTACAGAGTTTGAATGTAATCATGAGTTGAAAAGTTGGAGAGTTTGAGTGGAAAATGAGGAAGGTGTTGGAGTTCAAGGAAAAACTATATTTATAGCAGAAATTACTAGAAAGAAACTAAAAGTTTTGTTTTTCTTGGCCTTTTTTTTACATTTCTTTCTTATTTCTAATTGGTTCAGGTAATGGCAATGAATGGAGAGCAGTTTAATGTTGATTTATCTAAACTAAAGCTAACTGATACTCAAATGTATCCAAATAGTCAGTTGGATTATTAAAATAACAGCTCTGGCATTGCTAGTTAATCTATGCTAATGGCCTGTATGGGATTATTGTGGATGTCCATAATAAAACAAAAATAATTCAAAATAAGAATTGTTGCTTCCACAACAGTGATCAAAAGGGTTTATAAACTGGTCTCTCAAAATAAAGTTCACAGTTGCTTACTACAATAAAACGACCAATATTTCAGAGATTCGATAACTGCAACATATGTTGCCACGTTACTAGTAGAACTAAACAAGCAATGAAAAAAACCTAATGTTGGCCTTACAAAATAAAGCCTAAAAACACTTTAAACGAAAAGCCTGAATTTTTCATAGATTACTGTCACAGTAGGTTCCACGTTATTAATGGAAGTAAATCTATCAGAAAATTCTAATAATGTTGGCTTTAAAGAAAACACTTGAACATAGTCTTAAAAAAAAGCCTCAATAATTCATTGACTATTCATTGACCATTATTATTTATACATAAACCAGTAATGGGAAACAGATAATGTTAAACTTCCAAAATCAAGTTCATAAAGACTCTTCAAATTAGAAATGTCATGTCTTCTAGTTACATCATTACAAAGGTACGTTCCAGATTACTTGTGAGTAAACAGTCCATCACAGGGGAACACAGAGACACACAGGACAAACAAACATGCTCACACACACTCACACATAAGGGCAATTTAGAGACTTTGGACTGTGAGAGTAAGCCAGAGTACCCAGAAAGAACCAACACATGCACATGCAAACTCCATGCAGAAGGACCCCAGACTGGGATTTGAACCCAGGACCTTTTTGCTGCAAGCCAACAGTGCTACCAACTGTGCCACCGTGCAGCCCGCCATCAAAATCTCTTCAGGAATTTTGGTTCTGGGTTTTTAAATCAGGATCAGGTCGGACTTTATTTATGCAATCCTACCAGCACAGACAGCTCCACAAAGTCAGGGGCCTCCAGATACTTGGGGTCCACAATTGGCCATGGCTGCTGCAAGACATCGCCTCCCCTCAGGAGGAGGGGGCTGAGGGGCTTTTTCACTGAGCAAAGACCTTGAGGAGAAAACACAGGAGGGTATTCAGACTAAAAATAGAAACGTGAAGGTACTGTCAGACAGCTGTTAAAAATATCTCAGCTACAATGTGGGGAAAATTTGGTATCAAGGCTGAAAAACCGCTACATTCTCCATCCCATGTTTCTGCCTCCCAGTTAAACTAGCACGGGTGCATCATTCTTCAAGCACAGAGGAAGGATGTTTACTTCCTCCATCCTGAACTGTGTGTGTGTAAAAGTACACAAACCACCCAGAGTGAAAGGCCCAGCACAGCTGAGTGCAGCAGAAGTCGTGTTTTTCTGTGCTGTTTAAGAATTGATTTAGGAACTGACATGCATAAGCACAAACAAAACTTCCTTCCAGCCATCATCTGTCAGGTTTCCTGACTCTGCCTATCAGCTGGACCTGTGTGATTTTCCAGAACCACTGCTCCCTTAGTTTGCTGAAAGCGATGTGTGTGTGTCAACAATAAAGGCTAGAGCCAGGGCAAGTTTCCACACGAGGCAGGAAAGGTAAGCCTAGATTTTCCTCTCTATTGTTTGCTCACCACAAAAAGTATTCCCATTTAAAATGTACTGTATAGGCATCAACAGATCTATTAGCACCCCTAATAAAGTAGTATAAAAAGTATAAATTAGTATTTTATTGCAATAGCATATTCTCCACAATCAAACCTTTAACTTGAAAACACCTTTTCAGTGAAGAAAAAAATCCCACTACAAGAAACAAATCATTTTTAAAGAAAAACACAGATGGCACAATTATTGCTTTTTGCAGTCTCTTTAAAATAAATGCAATTAAAGCCTTTTTAACTTCATGCCTTACCTATTTTCAAGGTTTTTGTGACACTAGTGGGCTTTATTCACCTATAGCTGGACAGGACGAAGGGCAGAGAGAAGGGGAAGACATGCAGTTATTGGCCCACGGCTGGGAATCGAATCAGGGACAATTACATTGAGGATTGTAGCCTCTGCATATTGAGCGTCTGCTCTACCACTGGGGCTCAGGTTTATGCTTATGCCATGCTTTACTTTTTAAGTTTGGTCAAAGTTCTAAAAAAAAAAAAAAGCTGATTAGTAAACAATTACTTATTGTTTGCCTGGGGTATAAATATAGCCCCATGTCTAACAGCCACTGCCCATAAAGCTGGACAAGGACCCATATCTGTCTTGCAAAAGGTCCCCAAAAGATCTCCATAACAATCATGATGGAGAACAATCATCATCATCATCATCATCTACATGTTCATGCTAGCTGGTTATTTGGGGGGCATGATAGAAAAAAAGCCACCCCATTCCCAGCATCGCAAACGTAAACAATTGCAATTTGCTAAACTCTAGTAGACCTTTAAGTGGAACTGTTAGGGTGGGTCAGGTGAGAATAGTATTTAGCCCACTTTCCAGGTAGGTTTCACAGGAAAACAAAAGATGAATTTGTAGAAAAGCACAGTATTCCCACTGTTAAATATAGGGAGGGATCTGTGATGCTGTGGACCAGATTCACCTGTAAAAAGGAACCCTGTAAGAGTGCAATGCATCAAGAAATTCCAGTGGACAGGATGAAAACTTAAAAAGCCACCCCCACCTCCCACCCTCAACTGAAAAACTTGCTTCTGCAATAAAACATTAATTTATATTAAGGCTTTATACACATCTTTAACTGTGAACATCACTGTAATTCTGTAAAACTGGCAAAAAAAATATGTACTACTATCCCTATGGCTGTTACATCAATGCTGGGGGCTCATTGGTTTTAGCTAATGTCAACGTACGTATATCAGACATTTCTCGCTCTTAGAAAATGCAAAATAACATAATTTTATTATAAGCCTCCCTAAAAGATGTCATCTTAAAATGACATCTGTTCTAAAGTAGATAAATAAATGTTTTGTTTTTTTTATTCTGAAGGAACCCATCGACATGTAAAATAAAAATAGCCACCCTGTTTCTCTGATAACGGCATAATAGGGAACAGAAAACGTTTCTTTTTGTAAGCCACTCTACACCATTTTCCTGTCAATGGCTGAGCCATAATTAGCAGAAACAACATCACACACCTGCCCAAAGCTCAGAGGCCAAGTGAGGAGCCATGGGTGCTGCCATTATAACAAGGGCAGCCAGAGCTTCCTCAAACTCCACACTGTGCTGTAAGACTCGAACTGTTGCACTCTACATACACACAAAAGCAGAAAACATGTTAAATTTGTGATACATAGTGTGTTTTAAATAGCAACAGAGGCAGATTTGTTAAGAAATAATGACAGACTCACACTTAACGTATTGGTAAGTCCCATTAGACGAGAGAGGGCTGCGTTGAACAGAAAGTCCTCCGTGAAGTGAGCCGTCACCTGGAAATATTAACACAATAAGCTGATTAAACCAATAAAATTGATAGATTGCTTTTTATTATTATAGACAGGATGCATCACATGGATGGATGCAAGAATTTTAGGGCTCCCTCTGAGGAATCATTATAAACAATGACGGGCTTAGAAGGGCCTTTTTATTTTGATCATGTGTGCTAGCTGTAAAACCAACAGAGTTTCAGCATTTCCATGCTTAGCCTTGAGGGGAGAAGAACCCATTTTAGAAAGCCTGAGAAGAAGGCTGATCTGTGGAGCCTTTCTGTGAGACACATCAGAGGACAGCTTCAGCTTTAAGGCCTTTTAGCAAACAGTCCGAGCTCCTTTAAAAGCTCTGCGTCCAACGAGGGGGAGGGGGGATCCAACCTGGCAGCCGAAGGGGAGCTAATAATAACGACTGAAACGAGACACAGTGGATTTAAAATCAATGTCCATCCTCTTCGGCGGTCGCTCTTTACTCTAGGGGTTTCAGGTTGCGACGGATTCATCAACACACAACCGGGAAATGTGTAATGAGTGATGTATTACTGACGTGAGATCATATATACTCGGTAACTAAGAAACAACAGCAACAACTTACACTTTCTATACCAAAGATCACACAAATTCTCAACCTCAAAACACAATTCTAATTTTTTTTAATAGTTTTTACAAAATTCTAAATTCAATTCTGTGAAAAAGTATTTTAATCTTTACAGATTTCGTCTGTTTTTGCTTTTTTGTCACTCTTAAATGTTTCAGATCATCAAATAAATTAAAATTTTTATGGTTTATTTTTTTTTATAAATGCTGAGATGAGGAATAAAATCTGAAAAAGCAAACATTTTCTGATACTCTTTTCTCATAAGATCAACTTCCATACTTTAGAAACCCTGAAAGGCTTCAGAATTATAGAGAATATGTCCTTATACTAGAAAATAAATATATTAAAGGTTGAATGAGAAGCAAATTTCACAGAAGACAAACATAAAAATAAACAACTTTCTGTAAAAAAAATCTGAGATTTCAAATAAGAGCTCATTCCTGCTCCCTGCTGGTAAGAAGTAGTTAAGTAAAATTTTTAAAATAAAACCTTTGCCATTATTTATGGGAGGTCAGTTAAGCAGTGCTGCAGGACACCCACCTCTTGAATTGCATAGTTCTTGTTGTCCCAGATCTTCTTGGCCTCTGCCAGCTCTTTCTTTTTCAGCAGGGAGGGGTTCGGGACATCACCGAGTTGTCGAGCTCCTCTTAGCTTTGTCACAAGCTGCCAAAGTCGAGACTGCCACCGCAGAACCCCTGGAAGTGCATCCGCTGGAGCAGGGTAACAGAAACACAAGAGAGAAAAAGATGTTTTGACATTTACTGGTAAAGACAAAAAACCTAAATTATGACTATTATGTTGTCATTAGCAAGGGTTCACTTTGTCTAAAAAAAAACAATACTCTGACAAAACTACTTTATTCTAACCTGACTCTTAATTTAGGTTTATTGGTAACTTAATGCAACTGTGTCTTTTTGTAGTAACATCCAGACTCACTCTTGACATTCCAGAGGATGTCTTGTTCAGGCGGCGCAGCATAAAGGATGTAGAGACGAATGGTGTCCACACCGTACTGCTGCACAACCTCCTGCGGGTCCAGCCCGTTGTGTTTTGACTTGCTCATCTTCTCAAAGGTCACCTCGATGCTGCCACCACTCAGAGCCACTGGCTCCTTCCCTGGATAACATATCACATGATATACATCTGTTGTTTGTTCAATACCATGTTGAGCAACTTCTGGTAAAAAAAAAATAAAGAAAACTACAATGCCTTGCAAAAGTATTCATACCCGTTGAATTGTACATTTTCTCACGTTATAACCACAAAAATATTAAACATGTGGCGTTTTTATTAAGCTCCTTACCTTTGATGCCCCTAAATAAAACCAACTTGCTTTTCTGTGAAGACCTTAGAGGTTTGTACGGGAACAATAGAGAACGAACAGCCTCAAAAGGAGCATGTAACACATCATTAATCAAAGAAAAAGCAAAAAGGCTCATGGTAACTCTGAAGGAGCTGCAGAAATACACAGCTCAGGTGGAAGAATCTGTTGAAAGAGTTAGGTTATCACACGTACAATCCACAAGTCCACAAATGGAAGAGTGTGGCAGGAAAAAAGCCATTGATGAAAGAAAGTCATAAATAATCCTGTTTACAGCTTGTCAAAAGCCATGTAGCGGACACAGCAAACATTTGGCAGAAGGTGTTCTGGCCAGATGAGACAAAAATGTAAATTCTTGACCTACATTCAAAACCCTAATTGTTTTATTAAACCCACACAGTACAACACCCTGAACACACCACTTCCACTGTGAAACATTGGGGTTGACAGGGACATCAGGTCAGAGTTAATGAGAAGATGCATGGGGCAAAAATCAGGGCAAGAATTGAAGGAAACTTTTT